GAATGAATTAAGTTCGTGACCCAAGGTACCACTGTACTTAAAAGGCCTGGTATCATTCACAGAGTTTAGTAGCAACTTCTTGTTTCACAGTTCCTTTATTGAACAAGTGCACTTGTATCATTTTAACCAGGGAGGTAAAAATAGTTTGTCTATTTCTTTTTAACCACTACTATGCCCATCATTTTCAGTTTAAGTGGTAATTTCCTTTCTGACACTTACAAAACGCTTGACTGAGATCCACAGAGAATATACCAGTTGTCCCCAACTCTTTGGGGCTGGGCCTGAAATTTAGAGAGCATGTTTTGGGAACTCACACAATGGTTGCTTACGATCCTGGTCATGACCTGCTGATTTGGTAGAATCAGCTTCTTCGTTCCTGCAAAAAACACCCTGCTATTCCTGCTTCCTTTGCCATTGTTCGGGTCGGAATGCACACAGCTCGACAAAGCACAGGGCTGCAGTCACTAATCAGTTTTATTTTCTAAGAAAATGTAAAGGGACCTTCTGGGTCCAAAGACAATATCAGAAATGAAGATGATACTGGAAGCTGGCATACCTGTTTCCTTTTAAATATATATATACAGTATGTAAAAATAAGAGCAGCTGCTTGGTGAGCACCAAGGGAAGTATCTGTAAGTATGTTGACACTGTTGGATGCCACACTGGGGGACCCCAGGATTATACCTACTACCTTTCTGCTGTATGATAATTTTGCAGAAGGAAATAAAAGCGGTTTAAAACATTTCAATATGAAGATTGCTTTTTACATAATACCAATTGATTTCTACTGATTTATGCTGAATTATGCTGTCAGATTGACCCTGGAGAAATTAAAACCTAAGAAATAATAATATATAAATACAAAAATTAGCTGTAAGCATTATATAGTCTTTAAATATAGGCTATGTTAAGGTCCAGTTTAACTTTATTTATAGGATATTCACTATACCTTATAATGTGTAGTTTGAAAACAATTTATAATACAACATTAAAATACAACCATCATTTTAAAAAGCAATGGATTGAATGCAAATTCTTTTGCACTACTGGCACATTGTCAGGATGGGAAGTTCATTCAGAAAGGTACCAAGAACTGAAAAAAGAGAGAAAGCAAGCCATCTTTCTTAGCCCCTTTCTCTCTTTTAGCCCCCAGTACTACCTCCCTCACTATTCTAGCCCTTCAGAGAGCAGATCTGGAGACAGGAAAAGAAAATCAATCAGAATCACCTCCTCCTTTCCATCAGTAGGACCTCTAAATGAGAAACCTTCTGGGGATGGAAGGAGCCTTTCATTTGTGAGAAGCAGATTCTGGATCCAACTCACATGGATAGACATACACAGACATGCAAAAGCATTGGGGAAAGAACCAGTGAAAGAGCCCACTGGTAAAACCAATTAACATTGCAACCTAATAGCTACAGGGAAGAGAGAATCAGTAGCGAACAGCTACTTATTTCTTGAGAGCTCATGGTGGCCAAAATGAAGCATAGAAGAGGTCAGTGTTCTTCCTTTGTTTGAAGCCTAGTTGATACTTTCCCTACTTGGTTTTCCAAAACCAAGAAACAACAGAAAATCCCAGCCCTACCCATCAGTGTGACACGGATCCACCCACTCTGCATGATTATCTCCCCTGCTGTGCCCCATATTCCTCCCACCCAAAATGTCAAGTGTAATTTACAATGACCAAACAGCAAAAGGAGATATAAGACACAAATGTTAAAAGCCATTTAAACCACAATCAGGATGGGCTTTAGGCTCACCAGCATCCAGCCCAACGTTGGCTTTAGGTGTTCTGATATGGAATTAGCGCTTTCCCTCTTATCCCAGCACAAGACCTCCCATGTGGACAATTTACTAGACATGGAGGAGGAGCTTTGGGAAACTGCAGTTCAGGTCAGCAGCCTACTCCTCTCTAATTGACCCTTTTCTGTCCAGCTGCTGGTATTGTTGTTTTGCTGCAGTGGAGATTGGAACCCTGGCTTCCATGGCTACTTTATTCACTGCACTGGTCTATTGTCTTTGAGAGCCAGTTTGGTAGTAGTTAAGGCACCCAGCTAGAAACTGGGAGAGCATGAGTTCTAGTCTTGCCTTGGACATAAAGCCAGCTGGATGACTTTGTGCCAAACTCTCTCTCTCAGCCCCATGAAGAAGGTAATGGTAAGCCACTTCCAAAAATTTTGCAAGGAAAACTGCATCAACTTGTCCAAGCAATTGCCAGGAATCAAGAATGACTCAAAGGCGCACAAACACAAATTATCTTTGGAGTCGTTGCTGCCTCAGCACAAGAATCAAAATACCTTAAAGTACCCCACTGCAGCTGTACAGTAAGACTTATCCAGCAGCTGATGCAGGCCACACAGAAGGGCTGCACAGATCCAGATGACCTCTAGATGGTAGCCACGTGATACAGAAAATCTTATGAAGAGACTAAACCCTAATATTGATCAGTCACATATAGAAAATAAAAAATAAAAATTTCTGCTCCCAACACCAATTTATTTCTTTTTTTTCCTTTCTTATCTTTTCTTTTTTTTTAGCAAGCAGCAATATTGTTATTGTTGGGAAGGGAGACAATGTGAAGAAGGTGGAAATGAAACAACATCTGTCAGAGGCACAAATCATTAAGCTCAAAGGAATAATGTAGACCTTTTGAAGGATATAACACTAGTAGGAATCTAAGCAGCAAGATACCCTCTAGAATACAAAACAAAGTCTGTGATCATGCTTACTTCAAAGGAACACTGTCTGGTTGTGTGTATGTGTTTTGGAGACAGTGAAATAACTCCTTGGGTGTTATAAAGGGCTTAATTCTGTATAATTCTAATGTTCAGATTCCAAACCTGACATTTCCCAAGGAATCAAATCAATCCTCATAGTACTTGATGAAGCAGCATTCCACCCAGTGTACTGAACCAACAGCTGAAAAGCCACTGCTGTTCACCCTATTAATGCAGCCATTATGAGCAAGTTCAGTGATGCCAACAAATGGAACAATGTGTTCCTGCCACTATGGGGCTTGTGGGGATTCCTCCGCAAGTCTCGAAGAATCATTGTGGGGAACCTAAGAGGCTTGGGAATGGGAAGACAAAGTTAGCACTCCACAGTAGCGGTGCAGCTTTTTAAAAAAGTAGAGTTAAACTCACGCTTCCTTGATCCCTGAACTATGCAAAATGGGTACTCAAGGTAGATGTGGGGGGGAAATTTCCTTTTGCTCTTGGTTCAACATTTTGGTTTGGGAGAGGCTCCGTGGAAAGGAATGGGTGCATTATGAGAAAGACCTTTGTGAGATGGCCTTCTGTTGACACAGGACCATGTGCCTAGGGATGTAATGTGCTTGGTTAGAATATCTTACTTCTGGAGAATCCTAACTGGACATGGCCTAAAAGACATTCAATTATGAAGAAAAGAAAAAAGGGTCAGCGCATACAAGAACCAACATAGTTCCAAAATGCCATATATAATATATAGGTATATACTATTTAGTATATAGGGATTAGATATAATCCCAACTCTAGGGATTAGGAAGGCATGATGTTGAAGTGGTTCTCCTTTCTCTGTGGTCAGGTCCAGCTGATACTGGTGGGGTGGGGGAGAAGAGATCAAGCTAGAGACCCCTGACAAATCTACATGAGGCTGCTGGGTCAGGTCATCCATCTGTTTGGGATCAGGTATCATCAGTATGCTGACAATGCCTAGCTGTACAACTTAACCAAGTGATGCTGTCAGGGTCTTCTCCTAGTGTCTGGAAGCTGTGCAGCTCTGGATGGGGAGCTCAACCCTGACAAGAACAAGTAGCCGTGATTATTGGACCACCCAGATCTGAAGATGTTCCATCTTTAGTCTTGAATGGGGTTACAAGACTGGTGTGTGATTTGGGGATCTTCTTGGGCTCACAGCTTCTGCCAATTGCACCAATACCTGGACTGGGAGGCTCCTAGGACTATCACTCATGCTTGGTCACTTGCATTGAACTATTGCAATGTGCCATACATGGGGCTGTTCTTGAAGGCCACTTGAAAGCTGCAGCTGGTTCAGTGCCACGGGCAGTTATGGGCATGCCACAGTATTCCCACATAATACCTCTCCTTCTTGAACTGCTCTGGTTACTAGGAGACTTCCAGATGAAATTCAAGGTGCTTTTTATCGCCTATAAATTTTTTCATGGCATAGAGCCTAGTGGTTATTTGCAGGACTGTCTTCTGTAGTTTCTGCCCACCTTTATAATATCAGGCAGTATTGGCATGCTTTGGATCCCATCAATTAAAGAGGGTCATCTGATGGAATACAGGACATGGGCCTTCTCTGTTGCAGCGTCTGCCTCTAGAGTGATGCCCCCCCAAGATTTGCATACCCCCGAAGCCCTATTGAAATGAGCCCTTAAAACCTGGTTCTTCCCCAGGCCTTGGACTAGAGTGATTGGTAGATTCCTTGTGGGCTATTTGATCTCATGGTGTTGGCATTCTTTTTCTGGATGCTTGGTTTTGTTTTATTCTGCTTTTATTGTTTCATGCTGTACACCACCCAGAGTCATGATGGAGTTGGCCTATACATTTAATAAATGTGCTGCTAGAATTATCATTAAGAAGCTGGCTGGGTTATGCCTGTTGTGTGAATATAACATGCAAGTATTTTAGTGAAATTGGATCAATTTATTTCAAAGGAAATATATATGAGAACCAATAAAATACCATAACTGAAGGAATGGATAAATGTTGGACGAGGCAGGAATGAAACATTCCATATTGTTTGCCAATACAACCAGCAAACAGCTCTCAGCGCTCCCAGATATCATAACCAGACTTTGATCTTTGTCCTTGGACAGCATTTGTGACACTGATTGACAGATAGATTGCAAAATGTTTGTTTATATTGCGATTGGTTTACAATTCGTATATCAAAATATGAGATGGGTGGAGAGAGAGAATCTTCACAGAAACCTGTGAGTTTAGTTATATTGGTAGTGATTGACTCAAGGTAATCCAATAAACTTTATGGCTGAGTGGTTATTTGAACCTGGGTCTCTCTGGTCTACATCAGAACCATAACTTTACATTCGTTTTCAATCTAAGACTATAATAGAATTAAATTGCTTTATTCATCCCACCCAGACAGAACTAATTTTCAGTAGACATGAAGATGACTCCTTTGCTGAAAAACAGATGATATTAGCTATTAGCTAATATTAGCTATTAGAGGTTACGGTGAATAATATATTATATAGTAACCGAAGTATTGTTTTGTTTGTTTCCAGACAAGTAAGGCCATCTCCAAGGGGGACTTTCACCAGGCAAGCTCAGCTTCTCGACGAGCACTATTCCTCGCTGCACTTTCAATTACCATTGGCACAGGGGTCTATGTTGGAGTGATTGTAACACTGATTGCTTACCTATCTAAAGGTGGGCATGTATAATAAAAAATCATTGCATAAAATGCCCATCATTCTGCCCTGATGGATAAGCCTCTTGGTTTAAGTGCTTTTCTATGTCATAGAGGACACCATGCTTACAAGGACTGAAAAGGAGCTTTTTTCCCCTCACATATTCAAATAAACTGTCTGTATAGTTTTTTTTTTCAAATGAATACTGACCTACTTTACAGTATAGACTGACACGTTATAAAAAAAAAAAACGCTTACTGCAAAAATGAGTGCATGCTTGAACAGCCTGGATTTTGAGACTGCCAAGAACAAAAGGGGGAAATGGGATTTTTTTAAAGTCTGCAGCATGTTCTCAGACCAATTTTCTTGTGAGCTAGACCTGCCATTTGTGAAGTTCAGTTGCCTATTGGAGCTAAGCTCCTGTCTTATTCAGAGCACATGGTAAAGAGAAAAAAATGGGGGAATGTTTATTGAAAAACTTTCATTGGGGGTATGCAGTGATATTTGTCAAGAGGCATCTATTTTGTGCCAGAGATTCTACCTACAGGATCAATTCATCTGTGAGTACCTATCACAAGAAGCCAGCTTTCCCCAAAGCTCTCTTTCAGAGTCATTGTTATACAGCTTGCCTCTCCACCTACAGTTCTCTTCTGTGTCAGATTTTCCCTATAGTCTCATCTCATTCATCTTTGAAGAATCACATTCAGCTGTCACTTCAGTTATAAGATAGCACCTGTTTTAAAGAAGACAAGCAAAAAAAAAAGTATGTTATTAATTATAGTAATTCTAACTGAACAGCCTTGGGAAAGTCCTCTGGGCCTTCTATGTTTTAATTATATTTTAGGATGCATATTACAGTGTCAAATAGAATGAATTAATATTATTTCATATTTCATTATGACATGAAAAGCTCATCAAGAGGTAATACAGCATGATTACTTTTTATCACATCTAGAAACTCTTTTCTAGGTGTCATCATCTGGAATCAAATTCATATACAGGTAGCCATTGCTTAACTATGGTAATTGGGATGAGAAAGTCCATCACTAAACAATAGTCATAAAGCATGTTGTCTTTACCAACTTATGATGGCAGTTGTGGCAGTTCCAGTTGCCGGAGTTAAGTGAATCCCATGCAATCATTAAGCACAGTGTTACATGACCGCCATTTGCAACCTCCTGCCAGCTTCCCCATTGACTTTGTTTGTCAAAAGCCAGCAATGAATGTCACAAATGGTGATCACATGACCACAGGATGCTGTGGCCATTGTAACTGCAAGCCAGTTGCCAAGTGCCTGAATCACAATCATGTGACTGCAGGGATGCTGCAATGGCTGCAACTACAAGGACCCAGTCATAGGTCTCCTTGCTCAGCACCATCATTACTTCAAATGGTTGCTGAACAAGTGGTTGTTAAACAAGGATTACCTGTACTGAAATTTTCCACAGATCGGATAAATTATTGGGATTGCATTGTCCAGTTAAAAATGGTTCTAAAATCCCCAGTAGCATTTCTATGTAAAATGGCAACTTTATAGTGCTTATTTTAGTTCAGACCCCTACATAATTAAATTATATATGCCTTTTAGCTAATTTAGTTCTTTTAAGTCCAAATACATTATTTCTATAGTTACTGCAGACACTGAGCCTAAACCTGATCAAATATGGGGCAATGTTGCAGTGATCTCTTCACACCTAACAAAAACTCAAAGCAATGGTCAAGCATTGTTATTTCTCCACTTTGAGATTTTTAGGGTTCTGTTATATCCACCATATGGTAGGCATGCATACATGTGTTAGTGAGATAATTCAACATTGGGAAGTACAATGTACAGTATTTGAAAGCAGACTGCATCCAGTTAAATATGTTTTCCTTTCCTACCATGGCTTAAATATCCATTCTGATTCTCTCATTGGCCTTAGCTTTGGACTGAAGGAAGAGGATGCCATGGAAATTGTTTAAAAGCTGAGTTTATTGGAAAATCTGCCTGCTCACTGCTAGCCATGCTCCAGTAATATACAGCATGCTTCTGGGTACCACAGATGGTGCTAGCATTATCATATGAAACCCTATTCCCATACAAATCCATGATGCTCCTGTACTCTCATGGTGAGAAGTTGAATATGTCATAGCTAAAATATGGTCATCTATAGCAGGCAGACTGACTTTCTCTGAATCAGCTTACTGAATTTCTTTCAGTAAAAGCCCACCTATGCTTGAATCTTCAGACCTCTTGAAAATATTATAGGCCTTTTCTGTTCATGCAATCATTGGATAGCAAAGGATGTGTAGAGTACATTTTTTTAAAAAAAGTGCTGTGTGTTCTTTTTATTACTGATGATTCAACTAGTAAATGTTTTAATGTACTTAGAAGCTGCCCCAATTTCTTAGAGATGGATAGCGTAACAATTGTAATACATACAATGCATTCAGAAAGTATTCTGACCCCCTTCACTTTTTTCAATTTTGTTACGTTGCAGCCTGATACTACAATCATTCAAATTCATTTTTTTTTCTCATTAATCTGCACTCAGTACCCCATAATGACAAAGTGAAAACAGAATTTTTTCAATTTTGTTACGTTGCAGCCTGATACTACAATCATTCAAATTCATTTTTTTTTCTCATTAATCTGCACTCAGTACCCCATAATGACAAAGTGAAAACAGAATTTTAGAAATGTCTGTAAATTTTTTAAAAAAAACAAATATCACACTGGCATAAGTATTCAGACCCTTTATTCAGTACTCTGTTGAAGCACCTTTGGCAGCAATTACAGCCTCAAGTCTTTTTCATTATGACGCAACAAGCTTTGCAAACCTGGATTGGGGGATTTTCTGCCATTCTTCTTCGCAAATCCTCTCTGTTGGGATGGTATTGGGCAGGTGATGAGCGGTGCCTGGTTTCCTCCAGACATAACATTT